TGAGTCAATATTTGCTGGCAGGTACCTGAACCATGAGCACCACTGATGTCATCAAGACATAAAGTTGGCTGAAAACTCCAACATCCTGATGTCTCAGTGTAAACATACTTGGGCTAGTTTAAGAGAAAAATTCTGCCCCACTTAAGGAAGTGGAAAATTAGTTCAAGAATTAATAGGACTGTTAAAGAGTGTATCAAGGTCACCTGAGGTCAAGATATAAACAGAAATGATTACCACATCCCCGAATGGGGATGATGCTCCTGGCATCCGGTTACTATTAGTAGCTGGCATACAACTTAATCTTTCATCTCTGAGCTTTCCTTAACATTCTCATGGCATGCTGCCTGCTCCTCTGTCTACCTCCATGAGAGTTGATCACATTCAGAGGTCATCCTGCTACCATGGTCTGCAGCGCCGTAGAACCCAGAAGTGCAAATTTCAAGAATTTGTCATAGACCTACCACTGGCCTCCTCTTCCGTTTCACAGCCTGGATAAACTCTCTTTAAATTGACTGAACTGCTATAATAGGACTTAAAATTAGCATCAGCCTTAAAGTTATTATGACACTTAAGTTGATCTTTTTCTGTGATACCTTCATATTTCTTCACACCCTTTCCTTGTGTGGTAGTGTTGTCTGGCACAGGCCTGAATCTACTTCAAGGATGATGAGCTACATTGCATATCACTCATCTTCACATCTTACCTCGAAACTATCCGAGAATTGTATACGAAAAATATGCTAGAGCCATTCACATGATGCTAGATTAATGAGCTTTACCACTGTAAAGCAGGAATCACTCTAGTCACAGGGCATCAGTGTAAACAAAATAAGCTTAAATCAAAAGAGAAAAGCAAAATAGAAAATAGCTAGGAAGGATCCCAGGATGAAGCTCAGTTGATAGAGAATTTGCCTGGCGTGCTCATGCCATGGGCTCCATCTCAGCACCTTGGTGTAGTGCACTTGCCTATAACCCCAACACTCAGGAGGTAGAGATAAGAGGATCAAGAGTTCAAAGTCACCCATGGCTACATAGTGAGTTAGAGGTCAGTCTGCAACACAAGAGAACTTGCTTCAAAAAAAAAAAAAAAGCAAATAAAAACCATCTAGTATGGACATGGAACTCTTTTATTTTTGTTGTTCCAACACATCCCACTGAACATATTGTTTACAAATAAATTTGACAATGATGTAGAATTGGGGGGGGGCACATGATATATTGATATATAGGTAATCTTACACAGGAATTACTAAATTCCAAGTACTGTTGTAAGTACCTTACCAACGTTAATTCTCAGGCCTGGCTGAGGGAAGAGCTATAGTCATTGTTAAAGTGAACACCTGGAGACATGGAGTAGTTGGAGGACATGAAGTTGCATTCTAGAGTCAGGAATTAGATCATCATTCCATTCATACTGGAAATAAAACAGACATGGAGCATCAACATCCTCTGTTCTGCTCACCAACGTCCTTGTTGTAAGGAGTCAGCAGTCATTATGCCCTATCTATCATTTAGAAAGCACAAGGACAGAACAGCACAAGGAAAGGAAAATACCACTTCCCATAGAGCATTTTCTTCTAAATAAGCATAAATATAAGTTTCCAAAATATTCTTCCTTCTATGTTGTTCTAAGGAAGAATTCTGGGAGATGGCTCAGGAGAACAGTTGGAAACACATTTACTCATAGATGACTAAGAATTTAACTTCATTATGCAGTTTTTTTTTTTTCCAGGGGAGACTGTGAACACAGTTCCCCAGTACCACAGATTATGCAGTCGAGTTTCCCCGCGTTTGGGGAAATCATAGGGGTCAGCACATCCCAAGTGCAATGGATGAAGCTCGACCTGGGAAAACCGCTTTTCTGAATATGGAGTCCCTCCTGCCAGGTAAGTATCCATTATGCAGGTTTTTAAAAATCTATAATTATTTAAACGTCCTTTTGTCCTATAACTATAAAGGGCAATGTTTGGAATAGACTAAGTAAGTAATATCATTTCAAGGAATGGAACTTAAGAGTGAAGGCACATTTGAATGAGCTAACACTTTTTTAGCTTCTAAAGTTTCTCTGATAGTTTCTCAGAGAGAGAGAGAGAGAGAGAGAGAGAGAGAGAGAGAGAGAGAGAGAGAGAGAATGAATTTACATTTACCAACACATAAACAACAAATCTTCAGATAGGACATTTAGGTCTAATCAAAACTGGTTCTGGGAAGCGACCGCGAATCTGGCTATGGATTCAGGCCAAACAGCTTTGATTGTATTTTCAGTGTGTCCTCATTGTTTGGAAGGTGAGCAAAAGTTAATTAAGCATTAGATCCATTTGCTTGGCTGTAGGTCTGTTTATGGTGCTCCAGCTGGATAGCACATTGTTTAGTGAGCACTTTCTTTGCATCCCTAAATCAATGTGTCTGTCTGACAAAACTTGATGATTTACCTGCTGTCGTTAATGCATTGAAAGGTCACATAAGCATCACATGAAGTATGCTTCTGGAGAAAACTGATCCTCTCTACACAATGTCACATTGGTAGAGGAGCTCGTAAGAGCATCCCTTCATTTTGCACAGCATCTGGCATCCACTCCAACTGGCCACTGGATGCCATATTTACTGGAAGAATTCTGTTGTATTATCAAGTGATTTCATCACTCCATTACGATTTAGGCAACAAAGATTTTCTAAGGCTGGATAAACAAAGGTAGACCTTTAAAACTGATTTCAAAACTTATCACTTTAAAAGTAAAATGAATAACACTCACCTATTCAAGATTGTTTTAGGCACGGAGTACAGATAGTGATCAATGGATTATTGAACAGAAATTGTTGTTTCAAAACCAGTTTTTAAACCATACTAGAAAATGCAGATTGTGAGAGTATTTGTATTTTCTAAATATTTAATAATTACAATGTTGTAGTAGATATTTTATATGTACTGTATTGTTGATCTGATATACATATGTATGATTTTATTGTTTTATATGATCATTTTATAGGTAGTTTTATCTTTACAGGTAACAGAACTGGTAGCCCATAAAGTTGGGCAACGTTTTCATAACGTCAGGGCCATCAGCCTATGACTGTGTATACTACATTAATTTCCATTACAGTCATAGACAGAAATTATATTTCTCCCAGAGTGTTCCTTTGAATCGAGCACAAAGTAACACTTGTTGATTCTTTTTTGTATTTTCATAGAACTGTTTTCCTCAGTGAATTTCCTCCTCAGTCACCGATCCCCATTAAGCCTTAAAAATTTGCACTTGAATTTCTCGACTTTCTTTAGCATCAAAAATTTGCTTATCATATTCCATTTTCCAGGAAAGGTTTCCATTCCTATGCAGAGGCCCAGAGCACTGGAGAATAGATTCTGGGTTACAGTGAATAGGATTCTGTTCATCATTATGTTGGCATTTAGAAGTCAGAGCCTTATATCTTCCCTTTAATACCGTGCATGTAAATTGCACCATTTCCTGCCATGCGAAGGACAGAACTGAAATGATTTCTTGGAACTTAACCTGGCTTCTGGGGCTCCCAGGTCCAAAGCTTAGCCTAATAAGGGGATAATTAACTTTAGATCAACCCCCCTTTTGCAGTTCAAAAGACAGTTATCAAGTTCTATTGATTTTTTTCCATACCACTTTTACTGGGCTTTATTCACCCTAAAACTTTTTTTTAGGATTCATAAAGGTGCCAGAATTCTCTTTCTTTTCTATCAGACCTTATTTTTTTCCCAAATGATCTTCAGGAGAATGATAAAACTGGCCTCAGTTTCTGAGGACTTGCCAACATTTTTTAGAAGGAATGTGATCGTCTAGGTTACAATCATTTCCACATGTCTTAGCTCTGAAGCTGAAGGGAAGAGGTGCCAATCCCCGTTGCCTTATCTTAATATCCAGTGAACCCGGGAGGCTGCAGACAAATTTGCTTTAGACGTGGGCACTCTCATACAACACAGCAATTTCTCAGTCCCTTTATCACACTCACTCAGAGGTATCACATTGATAGCCAGCACAGCTGTTTTATGCTCCACTCTGGCTCTGCCTTTGACATTCAAATACCCCAAAAGCCATTTGAGCTTTGTAGCCACCCCCCCATCCCAGTTCATTGGCAGATAATGTCCCTGTGATCCTATACCTAATTCTTACCGTGTTTAATTTTCAGGATTCTGTTCTCATCTTTAAGGAAAATAAGATGAATAATACTATCTATTTGTTTAATCAACAGACACATCCCCTCTCCCCACAGTCTCAGGGCCCAGCTTCTATTATAGCTGTGGAGTTGCTTTCCTTGCATGTTCTGACAGCCAAGAATATAGTCATCATTCACTTTTGCCTTTTGAGGATGCACAGAAGAAAGACTAAAGGACGTTGAATAAAATGATATACTTTACAAGGCAAATTTTATTCAGTGCATAATAAATTTTGTTGAGGTCACAACAAAGTTTGTGATTCCATCAGAACACTCATAATCTTTCATCTCAGTTCTTAAAGCATATCGGAGTGTGTCAAAGTTGGGAAACTATAGCTTTACTCAAACAAACCAGCTTATGTTTCTTCTCTGTCCCTTGTCATGGTGATATTGCATGCACGTCCAGAGCTTAGTGCCTTGCAAAATGCTTCTCTTCTCATGAATGTGGCTATAAAAAAGAATTTATTTTTCAGAATAGATCATAAACTCATTTGGTAGTTTCTCTGTGATTTAAATTAGCGCCTTTACATAATTATTAGACCCTGTTTTACATAATTCCTCCTTTGCTATACGGAATCTGTATATGCCTTAATGTTACGGACTTCATCAAGGTGATGCTGCTCAAATGCATCCACTGAAGATTGTTCTGTAGAAGATGATCATCACTGCAGAAAAAAACACACATTCCCAGTTCATCGCAACAGAAGCTGCTTGTCTTAAGGAAAGAGGAAACTCATTTATCCTAAAGTAGGGTGACTGCTAAGATGCTAAGATACTCTCTGCCTGGATGAAAACAGTAAATTGCTGAGGCTTCTGGGAAGTGGTGTGGTTTGAATCTGCCTAGGAGGGGGTTATAACCTTGGTCTAGTATTGATGGTTGTCATTGATTACCATCTGCCTTGGGTCCAAGCTCATGGACGAGCTCTTTCTTGACAGGAAAAGTACAAATTCATTGATCTGTGGTAAAGTGGAGGACAGAGTACACATAGTGAGTGTGGGGTTACTCAGGGAGTTGGGGGTGGATATTGGGAGTGTAGAGGTGGTTGTAGCAACGGAAAAGGGGCTGTACTAGTTAATTTTCTGTTGTTGTGAGAAACTACCTTCATAAAAAGCAAGTTAGGGAAGAAAGGGTTTATTTTGGTTTGCATTTCCAGAAAGAATCAAATTCATGGTGGATTGGAGGGCGTACTAGCACCATGAGCATGGGGCCAATGGCATTCAAGGAGGAGGGTGGTCATATTTCACCCCCACACAGAAAGCACAGAGAAGGGGAACAGGAAGTAGGGCCAGGCTGTAAAATCTCAAAGCTCATCCTCCAATGACAAACTTCCCTCCGCAGGGCTCTAATTCCTAAAGGTTCCATAACCTTCCCAAACAGCATCACCAGCTGGAGACCAAGTGTTCAAACGTGTAAGCCTCTTGGGTGTGTGTGTGTGTGTAGGGGCATTTCACATTCAAACCACAGTGGGGACTAAAGGAATGGGAAAGGTAAAAATTGCCCAGCAAGGAACATAAGATAGTTTAAGCACAAGAAACCTAACATAGTTTAAGCATATTAACTGTCAAAGACAGTCTCTAATGAGGCTCTGTATGCTATCAATACTATTTGTTTGGTGTTAACTTTAGTTTAGGAACCTTAGATTACCAAATTCACAAAAACATTATATTAATACAAAGGATGATTTAATTATTTGAGAATTCCATCACACAGAGACGCTCACTCAGTCATAACGACTTACCCATTTTCTTCATGGGTATTTATCTGAAAAAGAAAGACTATTCTTCCTTCCTCCTTCCTTCCTCCCCCTTCTCCCCCTTCTTCACCCCTTTCCACTCCATCTCCCCCCTCTCTCCTTCCCTCTCCCTTGTCTTCTTTTTCTCTCTTTTAAAAACTTGTTCTTCAACAGTTTCCTACATGCATATAATGCATGTTGGTCACACTCATCATCCCCTGTCCTCTCACCTATTACCTGTCCTCTGACCAAGTCACCATTCCCATTTTATGCATTTTTAATTTATTTTCATTTTTAATTTGTGACTCACTGGGTTTACCCAGAGTCATTCTCATGGGTATGGATTTAGAGCTGTCCTCAGAATTCATGACTGACTCACTACTGGCTATGACAGCACTGAAGAGAGTAACCTCCTTTTCCCCAGCAACCCTCAAGTGTCACCAGCTTCTTGGGCAGGATCCCATGAGCCCTCCCCAATGATGTGTGATGACGATTAATAATTATGGACTTGGAGTGGAAATCTGTGTCCCATGTGCATTCCCTACCAGGCAACTCTCCAGTGGAAGCCAGCAGACAATCAGATCGCCTCACATGTATGGATCTAAAATGGCTGTATGGATTAAATCTGTACTAACATCAGCCACACACATTGTAGACTAGTACATTCATCAACACAATCCAGGCAGCCTTAGACAGGTACTACCTCTAGTTGTCTTGCTGATTTGTTTATCTGAGGCTTGACTGGATGTCATCCAAATGGAAGAGGTGATCACATATACTAGAAATTTTCCAGATCTGAAGGCTGTTTTCTCTCTTTGAGATAACTGTATCTAGTTTTATTTTATCTAGGAAACATCTTACTTGCTTACCTTCTAACTTCCAAATGAAAGTCTTTCTGGAATAATCATGATCTTGTTTTAAAGGATATATGGCAATAATCAAAAGAACAACAAAATGTATGTGGATTCCAAGGGTCGTA